TAGGTAACAATCTTATTTTATATCATTTCAAGCTATCATCTGCTCTATATTTTATAGAAAAATATATATTTGCATCCAATCATTTTTTTTCTTATGGTAGTTCAGTGATCCATCAAATGTGATTTTTTTTTTTAAAATCATCTATTCTCTCTTGACATATTTGTAATTCTTATTTTAAAGTGTCTTAAATAGTGCTTGTATTATTATTATTATTATTTTTTAAATAGTGCTTGTATTATTATAATAGAATAGAAGATAGAATACATAAACGTATGTGTAGTGATGAGTTAATTATTATTACCTAATAATAATTTCGAGTCTTGAGCTTTACTAGATATTTTAGATGGGCTTATTCCTTCTTGTATAGACTTGTATGGGCTTAATGTCTCGATTTTTGGAGTTTATGTATGAGGAATGCCAAGATTAAATATAGATTTTTCATTATACCTATCTTTTGATTGAAAACATTTTTCTTCTCATCAAAGCTGATATCTTTTGAAATAATTTTTTTTTGGATAGTAGGATAATAATACTTATACCTCTTTTGAGTGAAGGAATACACAATAAAGAAACATTGGAGAGCTCTATGATCAAATTTATCTCTATATTGTTTGTGAATGTGGACATAAGTAACATCCAAGATTTTTGAAAGAAAATTTGAAAAGAAGTTATTTATGGGTAAGAATTAAGTCAGGTAGTCTAAAAAACTTTAAAGTCAAACACTCTGGAAGATATTGTATTGATTAGGTATATCATAAATAGTACTGCTTCTCCTTAGCATCTTTTTGACACTTGATTTAGAATAGTAGTCCCGATGACTTCGAGAAGATGATGATGTTTCCTTTTTGCTACTCCATTTTATTGGTGAGTGTCAAAATAGAAGAATTAGTAGATGATACATTCTTTATGGAAGAAAGATGATAACATATGACTAAAATAATCACAAGCATTATTAATTTGAAATACCTTGATGTTAGTACTACATTATTTATATCATGATAATAAAAAAGGGGAGAATAATTCTGACATCAAAGTTTTGTTTCATAAATATAACCACTATATCAGATTGTGATCATCAATAAAGGTGGAAAATCATGTAACCCTAGAAATAATGCAGATTTTGGAGGATTCACAAATGTCAACAAGAACAATTAGAAAATGAGTTGAGAATCTAAATTCACTTAAAAAAAACACGATAATAGTGGATAATTTCACAAGTTTCAAATTTTGAAGGGATACCCTAACCTATAATGATATTCTCAATTGACCTCTCTATAAAGGGTGAAAATGAAGAAACATAATAAGTGATTTTCATCTTCAATAAAATATAGCCCATTATTTTCTCTAACATGCATAATCATCTTTCCTATAATGAGGGCTTGAAATACACAATAATTAACAAAAAAAATATATCTTTGAATTATCGTCTTTAGTGATTTTATGAATTGATGGAAAAGTTATTGTAAGATGAGAAAAATGTAGTATATTATTAAGAGAAGATGTGAGAAAAGTGAAATATTTTCTTAACCAACAATAGTTGTTAAATAAAGAATTATAGGCTAGTTTTATTTTTTTATTGTCATAGCAAGGTTCGCAGGTTTGAAAAAGAGTGGCAATGTTGGGTATTGAAAGTGGTTCGTGAATCTAGGATCCAAATGTGAGGGAAATTATTCAATGCACTTAAACAATAAAAATTAAAAATTATACGATTTTGAAGTAAGGAGCATAATATGGATGATTTTTTCAAAGAGTTGAAAATGCTTTTGAGTTTGTCAATTTCTTCAGGATTAAACCATTTTAATTTCCCAAAATAGGTTTGCCGATAACATTCTTTATTTCCACCTTCGCGTAAAGCTTTCCCAAGAACTTCAATATTTTTCTTTGATGTGATCTATCTTCTTTAAATTGTTGCACTATATATTGCCTTAGGAAGAAGAGTTCTATCCTTCTTTAGGAGAACAATATGCAATAGTAAATCCCTTATCTTGGAGTTCGATGTTGTTATGATAGATGTTTTAGATATCATAGCGTTGAGTATTATCATATTCTTCCTTTTTTGTCTTGTATGAGAATAAACTTCATTTAGTGATCATAAGTTTTCTTTGCTTAAGATTTAGACATGAACTTGGTCAAAGTCGTAATTAAGTCCTGCAGTGAACTCACATTATTTCTCTTTCTACAAATTACTAAAGAATTATTATATCATTCAAGCATGTCATCTTGAGATCTTGATATTAATTCAGTTCAAGTCAATAAATCTTTATTGCATTTAAATACTCAATAACATAAATGTTATATTTCTTGATTGTTGAAATCTAAGTTTTGATCTCATAGATGAGAGAAACATTCTTTACTTCGGAGCAAATTTGTTTGATTGTGTCCCAAACTTCTTTCGAGGAAGAAAGGAACAAATATGGCTTGTCAGTTTCAAGTATCATGTTATTTTACAATCATATCATGATCATAGAATTCATTTCATCCCAAAGTACAAACTTTAGATCCTTTGGCTCTAAAGGAGAATCCATAAGTTGATGAATCTTTCTTTTATCCTTTCAAAAATATCTTCAATATTTGGGAAACCTCAGATAGTTTCTCCAACACAAACGATATGACGCTTGTAGCCTCCAAAATTCTACCTTATTCTATCTTTCACCATTTATGATGGTTGATTACTTAAGAGAAGTCAAAGAAATCATACATAACGAAGAAGAGGAAGAATTACGATAAGCAAAGAGAACAAAAGTTGGAAGAAGGAAATATAATCTCACTCTATACCATGTAGAGAAGCATAAAAACTATTTTTAATTTTATTGCTTGATTTTATACAAAATCTGAAAGTACATATAGACTTTTTCAAAAGAATTATAATGAAAATAAATCAAAGTTATCTACTGAAAAAATCCCCAAGAGGGCCTAGCGACTAGAAAAGGAAGATGAAGCACATGGATTGCAATCTAATGGTCATAAGAGGATTGGTCCAATAGTTGACTTGTAGGTCCCACCACCGACTAGTCATACATTGGAGAAAGACAAAACCCTATTTGGGGCATTGCTTGTGATGTGTGCCCGACAATCATTAATCACCACCTATTACAACACCTAATGAACCTATTCTAAAACAGCAACATCTCCTAAATTTACAAATGATAATCAAGATCTTTCTATTACTTCAATAATAATAAGAATAGCAAATATCTTCAAATTAGCCAATTGTATTGGTTTAGGTTCATTCAATGTAGGTTAAGACTCCTTCAAGTCTTTGTTTGGGCGTTGATGATTCAAACAAAATAGTTTATGAGATGTCTACGAGAATTGTAACTTTACGGGGTCGAGTTCTTAGAGATGCAATGATTTGATGACAATCTTCTCCTTGAAGTAGATTTGGTGATCAAGCCGATGTAATTATCTTGTAGTTCTTTGGTAAGACTACAAGGTAATCATAGTTCTCCACACCTTATCATTTCTATTGCATTCCACCGATTCCTTCTTTGTAGTCCTCAAACTAAGCTTGGTTTTCCCCTTTGGTGGACCACATAACCTCCATCTCACTATTACTAGCCACCTTACAATTCCACACGATGATCCTCACATCAAAATATACAAAAAAAATCCATTGAGAACCTACTACCCTTAACTCATCACCAATCATAAGTAGTTTAGGCGGCCTTCAAGAATAGAAAATTAATAATTAACAAGACAAGTCTGCAATTTGGTTGAACAAAAAATAATAATAATTTTCGAATTACTACTAAAACAATTAAGTAGAGGGGCTACTAGGGCATTGCTTTACTATACTTTCACACAATAAAGTTTTCAAGTAAACACTTACCAATTTAAAATGGGATAAAATCAAATAAACTTTAGAACTACATAGATTAGTAAGTTCAATATTATGAACCAAAACTACATATCTTCTACAATATTTTCCTTAAAGCGAAAGGATAAATTTGAACAAGTTCTATAAGGTATTGTGATACATAATCTGAGAAACTTGAATGATAGCATCATACACCTATGTTGTAAAAAGTGTTAAGGAATCTCAATAAGATATGATTATCCAATGCTCAATGAACTAGAAGCCATCCTAGAAGTTAGCTTGAGTAAAATGAAGCGTTAAAGAAGAAATAATTACATCACTTATAAACTACTTTTGGAATTAGTAGTATTTTTTAAGAGTGATTGTAAGGGGGTAAGTGTTATATGAATCTAATCATAAAGCTTTTAAACTTTTCTAGTTGCATCTTATCCCACTTCTAAAATTCATTGTAAAAAAAGATTATCCAGTACATAAACTAATATATTTGTTGCATGTATAAGCTAGGGAATCTAATCTTGATTATTATCTACTTCGTCTTTGTAATCATTCATGCTCTCTTCTTCATAAGTGTATTGTAGCCCTTAATCCTCTATCTCCTAACAAAATCATCTTCTTTGTACACAAGATTTACTATAGTAGAACATGAAACCCCTTTGCCAACATTTAGTCTAATTTTTTTCTAGCACAAATTTTTTATGCTCTTTTTGCATCACTTTAAACCAAATTATCATCCTATAAAAATAACTAAACTCAATCAGAAGTATTCGCATTCATCTATTCAATCAAGGCAAGGTACTCCCCATATTACTTAAGGGAAAGAGCTTCCTTAGGAACGCCTTAGTGATGATGCTTGTATGGAAGATATGCAAAGCGCTATAAACTCGCGTTGTTTTGCCTAGCCTGAGGGCCTAATTGAAAGCCCAACTAACCATTAAGCAGATATAATAGTAGGTTGCAGAGGCAGAAAGCACCAGCGCTGAAAATCATCTTCAATTAAACAAGACCCTCAATATATGTATGCCAACTTCACAAACAACTTAGAAACTATGCAGAGCTTAAATCAGATAATTTAAAATAATTATGCATAATAACAGTTAATATTAAAAAAAAGATAGGACTAAGAATCACTAGTAGCAGAAACAACATGTGATAGTCATGCTAGTCGGAAAAGACAAGTTATAACCTTTTAAATTATCGGCCTGCCTCGAGCAGCCAGTATTAATCGCATTCCCTCCACCGCATCCCAAGACCTCCTTAGACCCAGTACTGGAGCTCCCCATGCACTGAATGTTTCCAATCTCACAGCCTCCATGCGCCTGGTGCATTAAACTAGCTTCAGCCCCACTCTTCCCCTGCATCACAGGGTGAAAGCAATAAGCCTGATCATCACATCTGAAATCACAAGGATTCTGAACATGGGCGCCATTCATAAAGTTCGGTTGTGCCATCTGTGAAATCGAGTCTCCTCCCACTTTCATTGGCTTCAGATAAGGAAAAGATCCAATCTCTCCCTCTATTCTCCCCCTTATATCAACAAGCAAGCAGCGAAGCCTTGCAAGCTCAGCTTCCAAAGCAGCTTGCCCCTGCAGCTTCTTCATCAATTGTTGATTGACTTCCCTCAATTGGACAACTTCGTCTTCTAGAGATGCGGCTCGAGCCTTCTTCTTCTCCCTGTACTTCCTAACCGCCTCCCTGTTGCCACAAGATCGTTTCTTGGTTGAGCCCTTCTCAGCAGACTCAGCTGTTTCATCAGCTGGAGCAGAAAGAATCTTAGTGTGGACATGGAAGCAGGTGTGGGTGTGAGATAGATCAGGTCCAGGAGGATTGCATGTGTGAGTGTGAGTACAAGAGTGATGTTGGGTATCTTTGAGTATCTCGTCAAAGAAACTATCCATTGAACAGCTGCTCGGTAGCTCCTCCCCTGCATTAGGGCCCGAAAAGACTTCCGGATTCGAGAAGTCTAAGTCGGGGTCATCCATGAGCACGATGTGAAAAAAGAAACCTAAATCTACACAGGCACCAGAGCCCCAAAAAATCCGGAATCCTGCGCTAGCAAAGCCAAATTTACAGGCTTGATCACGATATGAAAGAGAATAGCGACATATTCAATCACTGATGGGCGAATACCTTAAAATTTAAGAAATTTGAAATAAAATCAATGGAGAAGCTCGATGGTTGGACGGGAGGGGCTACCTAGGAGTTTCCACCGCCTATTGAGCGAGGAGACCCCGCGAAATCAAGAGTGCTCGGATAGACATCCTATAAGCAAAATCAATGAAGAAACTCGATGGTCTCTCTGCTGCAATGGAAGCAGAGATCGCGCGGACAAAAAGGCAAAAACAATCTAGAGAGAGAGAGAGAGAGAGAGGATATTTGCAACCATTGAATTTGCTTGTAGATTCGTGGTTATATTGCTGATAATACTCTCAGGTCCTCAACCTAGGTTCGATAATTAGAATGTTGTTTATGCCATTGGATTTACTTCTTATGTCGTGCGAATGATCAACTGATACTACAGGTGGCAACCTAGTCGAGGATGCATTGAATCTGCGTCTTATTTTATGGTATTATTAAATTTTATAAAATTAATATAATAATAATGTTATCATTTCAATCACATAAGAAATTAAGCAAGATAAAAAATTATGAAACATAAAAATTACATAATTAATTAAAAGAATTATTCAAAAACCTCACATAAAAACAAAAAAAAAAAATTTAAATCTTATAATTATAAAAATTTACACTCATAATAATATGATAATTTTAATTTTAAATTTAATTTACATATAATCATATATATAATCTATTTTTCAACGTCAAGAGAAGGGCATTTGTAGTCATTTCAATATGAGTTAGAATATATAATTGGACATTGATACGGCATCACAAAAATTATCTTGATCGAGCACGAATCTCGAGGCAAAAGCTAGTTGGAAACTTCAAAAATTAATTTTGGGAGCACCCAATCTCCGATTTCAGCAAGCTTATAGTCAAACTGAGCGTCTCGGAAATACGAATCCAACGACACCAAATTCGACCCAATCCGAGTCCAAATGGGTCCAAATCATGGATCCGAAGCGCTGTTGGAAGGTTCAAACCACTATTTGAGTTACCAAACGGACTCCGATTTTGACGAGCTTATACTCGAATCGAAGGGCTCGACGAGACAAATCCAACGAGCCCAAGATCACAGAATTCCGACATCACTAAAGCCTTCAAATGTCCAATGAACGGTGCATGATCGTAGGATTCAATATCGACCGTCCATTCAACCACTCCCTATTCGCCCCTGATCTCATGCCTATTTACGGGCCATGCCACTCCAAAAAATCTATAAGATAGCAGGGA